GAGCAACTGGAATGGAACCATTCTCGGCCCGCCTCACGTTAGTTTCTGACTGTACCTCACGCCACCACGAAACTATCGCTAATCTGCCGTCTTTCAGAGCGTTCATGAGAACCGGATATACAGTGTGAACATTCACTGCGGACCTGACTACCCCGATAACCCGCCTACCATTCAATTCGTCTCTCGAGTGAACATTCCATGTGTTGATTCCAGCTCTGGCAAGGTATGAGGAGAGTGGATACGAAAACACGAAGCCATTACTGAGTGTTTATACTACAGGTCGATCCGACAAAGCTTCCAACCCTTGCGCAGTGGAAACGAGACAACACCATGGAGACAGTTCTAATTGAATTGAGAAGGTAAGCACAAATAATGGCACAAGTCGACGGTTGAGGTTGACACTTTATCCAGGTACATGGCCTTGCCCCAGCATAAGAAGCTGCCGCAGCCCCCAGAGGGCTCAACTTTTTAGTCCAGCATGTGAGACCCACTCAGTGCAGGCGGATCTCGGAGTATCAGGGTCGGCTTCATTTAAATTTCCTGGCTTCTTCTCTTTTTCTATGACCCTAGAGCGTGTACAGTCTCTGCATGAAAGCATCAGCAAGGGTTCTTTTGGGCCCCAACTTTCAATTTCCATCCCTACATTAGGTATCTATCTCTAAAGTTTTTTGTTTTGTGGAACTGGGCATTGCGGCAGGCGCGTGTTTACCAATAACAAAATCAAATGATCGTTATTCTTTTATTGAGTGATGACATACTCCGTAGAGTGATTCACTTAGCCAATGATTGTCTTTGTAGGCGTAAATTCTTGCTGTCTAGTATGAAGCAACCATAGGGTCGTGAGACACCACATCAAATATAGGGACAGGGCAAGACACCAAGAAGACCAATCCATGCTCTAGTTCTCAGTGTAGTTCTCACTGGATGGCGTTCGTGCCCTTACAGTTCCCACCTCTCTGACCCAACCCCATGCAGGAGATAAAACACAGCAGAAGACAACCAGACACAAGAGGGTGTAGACTGCGCCATGAAAATTGAGAGAAATGTTAACCAATAGAGGGTACATCATCTACGTTTACTGAAAAACTTCTTCTCCAAGCACCCGGACAAGCCGAACAGTTGATGAAAAAGGAGTTCGCGTCGATCGGGGTCAGTGTAAGCCCAATGACACTGTGCAACGAGGCATGCGCAAGCACAGGGGCCAAGCTGCGGGTTCCAAAAATAGGAATAATCAAAGTGTTTCCTGGACGGAAACTTTCAGAGATTAAACTGAAAAGAACAGATACTACACTTGATCTAAGCCAATAGGCAAAGAGAGCTAAAGAAGAAAGAAAAGAAGAAGAAGATTTGCGGGGGGGATGTGGGTATATATAGACAAATATGGTCACGTGACCTTCGCGCGGGTCCCCTTGCCGGAAGACGCCAGAATTGTATACCGCCGTCTAGATTGGATCCGGATGATTCCAAAATTGTATACCACCTTCTAAATCGGATGCCGGAAAATACCAGAATTGTATGCCGCCTGGATGCCGGAAGATGCCATAAGTCTCTACTACCGAGGCAGGAGCGGTACCCAATTAGGAATGTGAGACTGATTGGAAAGTCTAGACACTGGTATGTGGCTGGTTGGGTCTGGTAGCGAAAGCCATAACCACCGAGCCTTATTTGATTTGGTGAGCCGATAGCGGTTGATAAGACTGTTTAACACTTGCATATCACAGTATGAAAAATTACACTACCACAGACCAAAAATATACTCAGTCACCAAATCATTAAATTTCTTAAAACTCCCTAACGAGACTTGATATCATATAAGAACCAATAGGTCAAAAGACAAGATTCCTATAGACAACCGTTGTTGACATGTCAAGTTGTAATTTATCCTATTTACTATGGTGTTCTTGGGGTGTTACGTATGTTGTACAACATATTCAGGCATCTTTAGGCGGGTCCCTAAAATATATTGCCATACGCTAATGCATTTCCAGTAGGCGGTAAATGGGCGGTGTCCACCCCAGGCAGGAACAAGATAAGACATAACTATGGTTGTTTAGCTTTGGCTTCATTATTGGTATAACTATTCAACACGGCAGAATGCATAAAGTGCTGGTGCCGAAGCATAACGGGGCTCATCGCTTTGCTTGTGAGAGATGACTCCCTACCTTTTCAATCCTTCCAGCTGACAATCTGTCTATGACAGGTTTGGCGCTTTATCGAGCACTTCTCCGACAATGCCGTCCTTCAGCTGCAAACACTCTGTGGCTAGGTGAAGCTAAACCTCTCATTCGACAGAATTTTCGAAAATATAAAAAATTACAAAGCCCATCACAAACAGCAAATGCTCTGAAGGCAGGCTATGAGGTATGCGCGTCGAATCTTCCTCCAGGCTAAGCTTATGTGTTAATATCTTGTCGCCGTATGACAGGCTCTAGATCTCCTCTCCTCGTCTCATACCAATCAGCATGATGCACACCGGATCACGACTCTCATAGCCCAAGCCAGATCACAGAAAGATAAATATGCTGCGATGCAAAGGAAAATTCGGCTGGCAGCGCCACCTGCCAAACCACTTACGCCCAAGAAAGCCCGAAAAGTAAAGTCAATTCGCTTTCAGGAGGAAACAAATCAGCGACATCCGAACGCTACCTCGATCCTAGACAGACCCCGGCCGTTAGGTGACAAGAAGCGCAATGTCCCTGTACTTGTCAATGCACGCGGACTTCCGTTCCTGCGCTATAAAAAGCCGCAGCCGAGAAACGTTAGCAGCGTCATTCGAACAAAACTTGGGCGTCGTTGGAACTGGATCGAACGTCGAGACCGGCTGAAAGTAGAACTTCTTTTCGCTAAGGATGAAGAGGAATGGGATCGTGTCACCGAGACTAAGGAACCATCCACTTGGTCTGAGCATCCCGCAAATGCCATTGTCGATGTCAATGCGAAAATCGCACACTTCGATATGCATTCCAAAGAGCTTGCAGATAACATGTGGAAGATCGTTCTAGCTGAAAAGGCTTTGGCGGAAGAAGAAGCTAACCAAAAACAGCTAAAGCAATGAACCTTGGAAACCAAGTGGTCCATCTTGCCGCGCAGACGTCATTGCCATCACAAAGTACATTCCCCTGGCTCTTCGGGCAGACGAACGTGCCATTATAGCTTAGGTCAATGCCCAGCTACATCACAGCCACCGTCCATGGCCATGCGACCAATGGGCACCATGGACTGCTAGCATTGTCAAAGTCACTGGACTTCAGCAAGCAGCTCCTAGAAAGACAACGGTTCTGTTTCAGGCCCTTTGTTGTCTAATGATTTGAGCATTATCTTTCCCTGTACCATAACCCAAGTCCATGCGGACTTTCAGATCTGTATATTACTCCGCCTACCTTTAATACCAGTTCGCTGGTTTCTCAGTATAATCACACCAATTCAACAAGGTTATAATACATAATTTCAAAGTAATGGCAGGTCGTTAACATTTCTATGTATTACTTATGCAGCCACTTTGAGCTTCTCAACAGCTGGCAGGGCATCCTCGTCTTCCTCGTCATAATCACCCTTGGCCAAGCCCTTCTCCCACAACTGCCGACCTGTGAGCTTTTTCTCCTCTTTCGTGGTCTTTTTCTTCTTGTCCTCCGATTCCTTTTCTTCGCGTACTCGAAGCTCCTCGTCCTCCATCTCCTTTTTGAACTTTGCATGCCACTCCAAGAAGGACTGGACGGTGACTGCTGTGCCGTGGAATTTTCGGTTCTCCTCCTCTTCTCTCTTCGCGGCGACTTGGTCCATTTCAGCTTGAATGGCGTCTGCTCGCTCGATCATAAGCTGCTCTGCGCTTTCCTTAAGTGCGCTGACCAGTGTGAATATCATCGGCATTCCCAGGTTCTCCTCGATGGTGGGCTGAAGAGACTCCATCAGTAGGTCCCGGTCTTCCTGGACATCTAGCCGGGGATGCTTCACGGCATTAGGTGGAGAGGAAATGCTGAGATTTGGGCCAACATCGGGGTATTCTTCCGGGTAGGCGACTTCCAGGCATATGACGGGTTGTTCTGATTCATCGCCATCATATTCGAGGGCATCGAGAGTTATGGATACACGGTACGAGGTTTCGGATATGTCTAGGTGCCAGGTCTCGCTGTGAGCAAGGATAAAAAGAAACTTTGACCCATCTGAAGAACTTGTCTATTACTTACCGGTAATTTCATCAGGGAAGATTGAATCGAGCACTTCACGCTCTTCAATCTGGTCTTCGCGACCCATAGCTGTTGATCCGCCCGCGGATTGGAGGGGTAACGATTTAAGCGCCGGAGGTGCAGATTCTTCGGGAAACACCTCGTGGGCAGATGAGAGTGGTTCTAGCGGGAAGGATTGAAATATTGTCTAAGCAAGACTTTGAGATATCGTAGTATTAACCAACTCAGAAAAAAAGATCGGAGCGCAAACCAAGTCAACGCACCAAACGTCGGGGCCAAGCCGGGTCACGTGTATCTATCAATTCGCCGTCATCCTCGATGGCTTCTACTATTTGCTTGAGAACACTCTGATCCGCTCACTAACATTCACAGAATATACTCCCCAAGCTAGGTTAACATCGAGGATATATATAAGACATATAAAGAGACATTGGAGTTTTACATATAACGTCCATCGTCTTAGATAAATCAAATTGTTGAAGTTCTACGTCTTGAAGGGTAAATACTGCATACATATATATACACGGCATTATTCCTATTCCGGGTGGCACTTCTAGGTATGGCTGATAATTAATTCCATCTAGCTATAACACACAAACGGTATGGTAGTGGTGTTGTGGTGTGTTGTAGTTCTCACTCCACGACCAAGGCGGTCAAAAGCATAAACTTGACAATATTGCGGTCCCACATGCAAACCCGTCAAACAGCCGCCTCAAATTTTTGGAGGTACACTTTTTTCTAACTTCTTCCAGATACCCTGCAGGTTACAATTGTCAATCACCCTGCTTAGTATTCCAGTCGACGACATAACCAGTTTTTGACTGCGTCCTGCCATGGGAAAGCCTAGACCGCAAAAGAAGAAATCATCCAAGCCCCGCGAAAAGTCCGTACTCGGCCCTGGTGGCTCGATCTCGAAAGGCAACATGGCTCAAGATCCCTCGACGTTACTCGACCAAGCCACAATCCTCCTACAAACTGGTCGAGCCGATGAGGCACTTGTGGTTGCACAGCAGGCTCTGGATTTGACCGCTGAAAATACTACTGCACAGCTCCCCGCCATTAACCTGCTTGGAGAAATCAATGTCGAGCTAGGCGACATCGACACCGCTAGAAACTGCTTCCTTCAGGCTGTTCAACTCGATCAGAATGGCTCGATACCGGAATCTCAGGGAGGGGGAGCTGAGAAGTTCCTATGGCTTGCACAATTGAGTGAGCAAGGTGGAAAGGACAGTGTCCTGTGGTTCGAGATGGGTGTGGCGTCCCTCAGACAGACTATTCAGTCTCTTGAGGGGAAAACATCACCGGAGCAGATCGCCGACATCACACAGAAGAAGACCAAGATGTCTAACGCACTCTGCGCTGTCGCTGAAACCTATATGACCGATCTTTCGTGAGTTTCTCTGTGTTCTAGATTCTATGCGGGCCAACACTAACATATACACTCAGCTGGGAAGAGGATGCCGAAGCTCGGTGCGAAGCACTTATTACGGAAGCCCTCCTTGTCACACCCGAAGAGCCGGAGGTACTACAGACCCTCGCCTCCATCCGGATTTCACAACTACGTACCGAAGATGCGCAAGCCGCGCTCACTCGGAGTATGAGCTTCTGGAAGGATTTGGCTCCAGAAGATCTCAAAATTCCCGATTTTGCGGTACGCATCAGTCTTGCGCGACTCTTGATGGAAGTGAATATGGAGTTCGAGGCTCTGGAAGTCCTCGAGCGCTTGATTCTAGAGGATGATCAAAGTGTAGAGGCCTGGTACCTCGGAGGCTGGTGTCTCTTCTTGCTGGCAGAAAAGCAACAGGCACCTAAGGATGCGACCGCCGATGAGCTTGCCGAGTCCCCGCGACATGCATCACTAGATGCTAGTCGTGAATGGCTCAAGCAAAGCTTGAAGCTCTACGATGTTCTTCAGTACGAGGATGACCGGCTCCGCGATCATGCCTTGGAGCTTGTACAGGAAATGAACAAAGAAATTGGAGAGGACGATGAGAGTGAAGCTGAAGGAGAGGGAGAAGGCGAGGATTCGGATGTGGAGATCGAAGTCGACTCCGACGACGAGATGGCGGATTTATAGATACCAAAAGTAACGACCACATGAGATGATGTACATGTTCATTGATTTGTTTGATTTGATACCACTAGAAGTAGTTTCTTTCATTTTTTTTCCCAACTTTCTCTTTCATCGTCGACCCCTTGAACCACAAACCAAAACTTCTTTGATATCGCCACCGCAATTCATTCATCGGTTCCGGATTAAGTTGCCTCCGGTGAAGCAGATGCCCGAATTTTTGTCAGAGCAGGTTTCAAGCGCGAGTGAAAGCGAGTTTGTCTCCGTGGCTGGCATCTCAAACTCCTGCAAAATGGATTTGGTACCAGCCCCAAAAGGAGAGGCTTCAGTAAAGACCACCGTGGTCGAAGTGGAGGCCGTGGATATGGGGGAACAGTACGATATAGAGGACGACGCGCCGGACCTCGCGCTTGAGATCTCGTCAGATTTGGAGTCGGACAGTGATGATTCCGACGGATGGGATAATCTGTCTAACTGCGATGAGGCGATCCAGTTCTTACGCGATGACCAGATCCGCGACGGCCTCGGTATGTAACTATATCCACCCTCACGTCTTACCCCGGACACCCCCGCTCTCGGAGATCTCAGAACGAACATTGGCTAACGCGCTGTGCTTTTCCGTCGCAGTTCCCGGTGCCTGTACTCTAGAAGAAGCGACTGCATATCGACAACGTCTACATGCGATTGGTAAGGCGGCGTTCGTGGAGGAGACCATCATCCGCGAAACCGTCACGGCCAAAAAGCTATGCACGGCATTTGGAATCGTGCCCCCGGCATTCCTCGATGGTGCGCCAGATGAGTCTTACCATTCTCTTCTGGCGGTCGCGATCTCGCGCGAGTTCTCCCGGAGGCCCAAACTTCCCCAGTACAACTCCATCGACGATGCTGTTCGGCTCCTTCGCGAGTCTCGAAACATCATCGTTCTGACGGGCGCAGGTGTATGTTTATATTGAAGATTATCCAGAAGATCCTTGATCCATAAGTTCTAACGGGTATTTTATCAGATCTCGACAAGTCTGGGCATTCCCGATTTCCGTTCTAAGGATACCGGACTCTATTCAAAACTGGCGCATCTAGGTCTGAGCGATCCACAAGAAGTCTTCGATATCCATATCTTCAGAGAGGACCCGAACATTTTCTTTTCTATTGCCAAGGATATCCTTCCAACGGAAAAGAAATGGTCGCCCACCCATGCGTTCATTCGGCTTCTACAAGACAAGGGGAAGCTGTTGACCAACTATACGCAGAATATCGATAACATTGAAGCAAATGCCGGGGTACGCCCGGAAAAGATTGTACAATGCCATGGATCCTTTGCGACGGCCACCTGCGTGAAGTGTGGATTCAACGTTCCTGGCGACGCGATCTTCGATGAAATCAGGGCGGGAAACATCCCCCACTGCACCGCCTGCAAGGAGAAAATCGCAGAAGAAGAACTAAAGCCGCAAGGTCTGAAGCGCAAGCGAAGTTCCAATGGTCAACAGAAAGACCGCAAGGTCTCCGACGACAGTTCAGATGAGGACGACTATGAAATCCCGACTCCTGGAGTGATGAAGGTCAGTGACCATTCGGTCCCTTGCTTGCTTTCTTCCATACTTACGAATAGTACAGCCTGATATCACATTCTTTGGTGAGGATCTACCCGATGAGTTTGGCCAACGTCTACTTCACCAAGATCGGGAACTAGCAGACCTAGTCATTGTGATCGGTACTTCGTTGAAGGTAGCCCCCGTGGCTGAAGTACCGGGGATCCTACCTCGCAAAGTCCCGCAGATCTACATCTCGCGCACGGTAAGTCATGTTCACAACATTGGCATTGTATCATACTAACCATGACATATAGCCGGTATCACATACCGAGTTCGATATTGATCTCTTGGGTGACTGTGATGTGGTGGTATCAGAACTTTCTCGTCGGGCGGGTTGGGATCTACAACATCATATGATACCAGCAGACGAGGAGGTGGATATTACCTCGGTGGATGGATATGAATCACGACATGTTTTCAAGGTAGTCGATGCATAGGGGCGGAGTTTAGTTTTGGGCATGTCTTGCTTCTATCTTAAGGGAGGGCGTATCTTCGGGTTTCTGTTCATAGCTGGATGTGGTGATATATCTTAGGCAGCCTTGGTCTCTTTTAGTTTTTTTGTGCGATTATATTCACACCTGGGTAGATCTGGGTTTCATCTGTAGTTTCAATCTATCGTTTTATTATCTTTCTCTTGATACACAATGCCTGTAATTAAAACATTTTAACTAATTCATATTCTAATAGTACAGTACTTAGTTCTCACTGAAGATAGTATTTCAAAACCTATGATTACTTATTTCGTTGAGGATATATAAATCCATACATATGTACCTGGACTGGACAGAGTCTGTCTCCGTGGAGTATATTTCTGAAGACCCGAGAGAAAAAAAAATTATCTCAACCCGCAACACCCCGCCTTCAAAGCAGCAACGAATTACATGAACTCCCACTGAAGAGAAATTCCTTGAGGAAAAACCAGATATATATTCGTCTTGCTAGCCATGGATTATCTGGTTCGGTTCGCCCAAGTCCATGAGACCTTCCGGCGGCCGGAACTCCAAGCCTGTGCCACACTCGCAGGCGTTGATATCGAAATCATCGCCTACAATGAATATGTATGATATACCTTTTCCATCGATATTCAAAGTGTCCAAATCATTCCATGACCATTGATCCAAAACGATGGTACCCCTCCTTTCTTCCTTACATGATCATCCCCAATTTGCAGAAACTTGACTGACATAGCCTAGTCACCATACTGTGTTGTAAGACTACCAAACGAAGCTGCGGCACGGGCAGTTGCCAAGCGCAGTATCCTGGTTAAAGATATATTCGAGCTATGGGGCGAAGGCACCAACTATGAAGAGCTACATGCGGATGTCCGTCAGCGAACCCAGGATCGTTGGAACGACTATATTGCTGTCCCGTTCAAATTCACAGTCGACTACTTCGCAGGAACTCGCAGCACAGTTCAGAAGGGAGAAATCATTCGATCCTTCTCATATATGGGGTTCAAAGGCCCAATCCGGCTAACAAACCCCGATGAGGAGTTTTTCGTGATGGAAGAGTACGTCGACGATGTTGAAGTCTCATCACTGGGCACGAAGCGAACAGGAGATCCACGAAAGATTTATCTCAGTCGCAAGGTTGCCGATAGCTGTCGCGAAGCCGTGCTTAAATACGACCTCAAGAAGCGTCGTTATATTAGCACGACTTCCATGGATGCCGAGTTGAGTCTCATTACGGCGAACATGGCTCTTGCAGCACCGGGGAAATTATTTTTCGACCCGTTTGTCGGAACTGGAAGTTTCATAGTTGCTGCTTCGCATTTCGGGGCTCTGACTCTGGGTGCAGACATTGATGGCCGTAGCTTCCGTGGTAAAGAGAGCGGAAAATTGGGCATATACGAGAATTTCGACCAATATGGGATCAAGAGCAAATTCTTGGATACGTTCACTTCCGATCTTACCAATACCCCACTGCGGAGAACTGCCGTTCTTGACGGCATTGTCTGCGATCCGCCATACGGCGTGCGTGAAGGACTTCGGGTTCTGGGAAATCGCAGGGGAAAACCTGCGGTTAATGTGATCATTGATGGCGTCCCTGCTTATCTGTAAGTTTTTCTATGCTTTCATTGGCCTCGCGACTTATAATACTGACTTGGACTTATAGCCGACCTGGTTTCGTTCCTCCCAAAAGGCCTTATGGCTTCGAGGCTCTGCAAAACGACGTTCTAAACTTCGCAGTTCGCTCCTTGGTCCCCAATGGCCGTTTGTCAATGTGGATGCCAACAACAAATGATGAGAAAACCGAGTTCCCTGTTCCCATGCATGAGAATCTCGAGATTATTAGTATCTCTGTTCAGAGTTTCAACACTTGTAAGTGACAGGTTTTATGATATAAACATGATATTGAAGTGGATTGGCTCATTCTGTGTCTTATAGGGGCTCGCCGACTTATAACCTACCGCCGTCTACCCGAGGGAGAATTGTCGGATATCTCACTGGCCCGGAAAAAGATGGACGACCAGGGTACTAGTGCAGATGATCTCAATGCATTCCGACGTGTGGTACGTATTATCTGTGAGTTGATGGCCCAGTACCTGGCTAATTTGTTGCACCAGCATATGCTCCCAGGCCACGGCACCAGGGTTGAGAAGGACCAAAAGACGGCCGAATAAGGACTCCGATATCAGAAATTCGATAGGAAGCTATATAGCCTACCCAGCTCGGAGGCTTGCAAAATTGGGGGTAATAGGAATATCTATATGCAGTGAATGACCCGAAGATGGGACCAATGATCAGATGCAAGAACAGAGAAAATACCAGATACAGTGTACTTCACAGCTTCCCTCGCTGGCTTCCTTCTGAAACCAGATCTGCAGCCAAGTCCACACCCTCGTCCCTCAAAATTCGTTTGACTTCCTCCGCCAATTCAATTCTCAACTCACGAGCCAAGATTTCAGCCTCATCGTCGTCGAGCTCCTCTCTCTGTCCACGACCGAACATAGCAAAGCTTGTTCTCTGATTGGCCCCTTGAGCAGGGCGTGGGATGATGTGGAAATGGACGTGGGGTACTACCTGCGCTGCTCTTTCGCCTGTCCCTCAGTTAGATGATTGTTGGTGTTTTCCTTCTTTCTTCCATAGACATGAGATCCCAAAATGCCGTTTTGGTTTTAGTGACAAATAAAACAAGATATCGGTCAGGGGCATTCGACCTCCTTGAATACCAATATTGATACATCAAATACATAACAGCATACAACATCGAAATACTCCGTATTCAATCAAATGCGATAAAGATCAAGGGTTTCCGAAAATGGAGAAAAAGCAAGGGCAAGACATACCATTGTTCTGTACAACATTCCAATGTCTATCGGGGTCATCGCCAAACACAGTCTTCGTTACAACCCTGGAGAGAATGGGTAGCCATTTCCCCATCTATGCACCAAATCAAGAAAAAAGGATCAGCGGAAGAAGCTTTTGTTTTTGTTTTTTGCTTTTGCTTGTTGAATAGACATAGATGAGCTGATGGGAAATAACTACGTACCTCCTGTCCTGCTTGA